TTATTAACAAGCTCGTGTGGAACGTAAATATTGGACCATCGGAATTCGAGACCAAATGGCAAGAGATGATTGAGCAATACAATTTAGGTCGTGATCCGTGGTTCACAGAAATGTATGAAATACGCGCATCATGGATTCCGGCGTTTTATAAGGACACACCGATGTCTGGTCTTATGAAAACGACATCAAGATCCGAGAGTTCKAATTCGTATATTAACATATACGAATCATACTGGTTTGATTTGGTTCAGTTCCTCAACAATTATGACTTTGCTATAGAGAAACAAAGGTACAAGCAAGCTGTGCATGAAACAATAACGAGGACAACATATCCAAAGTTGTTTACTCCATTGCGCTTAGAAAGTCAAGCATCAAGGGTATACAGTCGAAATGTCTTCTATGACATCCAAAAGGAAATAAAGAAGGCTGTATGGTCTTGTAGTATAGAGACTGGCGAATGTCGGGGTGATCTCAAAATGTTCATTATAAGCCACAAGAAAAAGAAATCGCATGTCAACACCACGTATCTGGTACAATATTMCTTTACATGGAATTAAATGTTTTTTAAATTCGTTGGTTTTTATGAACTGCTGTTATTCGGAACCTAACGTAACTATTTTTAGGTATCCCGAAACTACACAACCAACACGGTCGAATGCGAGTGCAATCTATTCACGCGTAACGGTTATCTGTGTCGTCATGCATTTAAGGCTCTAATAAACGATGAAGTTGAAAGTATTCCGAACCAATATGTTTTACGTCGATGGAAACAAAATCTGGTCCCTGTCCAGATACAATCCGCTAAGATTTGTTACGGTGAGGTGGATGCGGAGAAGGATAAGTCAATAATTGATGTATACTCCAAAGTCGACCACATTATAAGCATCGCCCGGAATGATAAATCGATACTGACTAGATTGGAGCAGAATCTCGACAATTTCACGGTTGATATCGAGAAAGAAGTACCGTATGAAGACCCATCTTAACAAAAAGTTGGACGCGATCAGAGATCACCTTGGTGTTTCCATACCCGATGATGCGGACATCCTACCACCATCTGGAATAAGGAACAAGGGTTGTGGTACTGGTAAGAGGTTGGTAAGCGTGTCTGAGAAAATACAATATGTAAGCAAGAAAGCCCGTCGAAAATGTGCGACATGTGGCCAACGTACCGGCCATGACTCACACAATTGCCCCCAATTGATAGGGTAATCAGTTGTCGAAGTACCGGAAATATCATCATTTTGGGGATGTTTCGTTGTTGTCAATCTTACAGCTCGTAATGCTCCGATTTCGGTTTATGTTATCTTATGATTGACATACATCCTCTACTTTTCATTTTATTACAATCTATAGATGTCTTAGTCACTAGTTGTTATTTCCAATACGGAGTAATAAAAAANCGATTTCGGTTTATGTTATCTTATGATTGACATACATCCTCTACTTTTCATTTTATTACAATCTATAGATGTCTTAGTCACTAGTTGTTATTTCCAATACGGAGTAATAAAAAACGCCGTAAGTGCGGTTTTCATAATTACCGACAATATCTTATTTGATAAGTGTTTTAGTGAACAATAGTGAACTTCATCCAATATTGTCATGTTTTTGTATTGTTGGATATGATTCATATGTTGACGTTTCTTGTATCCGGATGGTCTTCATAATAAAACAGTTGTCTTTTAGTTTTAATTCTTTTGATTTGTTGCAAAAATAAACGCCGAAGTAGATAGTGGTTGACATTATCTAGATTGCGGTTAACATTATTAGTTGCATGTTGTTCGTTTGTATTATTTATTCTATTATGTGTGTTTGAAGTTATGATTTAGTGTTCAATTTATCGTTGATGGCTAACCATGTTTTTAACATCTTGTTGTTGATTTACATGGATTAGATCAAACAAGTTATTCCAGATGTCCAGAAAATGTACTAAACTTATGTGAGAATACCACTTGCACTGTTTATAAAAAAAACAGGCTAGTAATAACAACCAAATTACACAGCAAGAAAAACCATGCCACTAAGATGTGTGTGTGTATGTGTGTGAGATTAGATAAAATGATATGCACCTTTTCGTTGTACACAATGTAAACAGGTTCCAATTAATGTCTATTCATGTTCATCATTTGTTGTTGTTCATGCCCAACAATCATTCAACTGATAATGTGTACACTACAGATTAATAAATGTCATACTAGAATTTATAATGTGAAACAGTTTCATGCGATGTGCATTGTCACGATAACGCAATATAGATTTGTTTATATCAACCTTGTGCAAATTTAAACATCAAAAAACATTTGATTGATCAAATACGGAAAATGTATGAACAGACATGACGTACGTTTATGTCTGAAATCGTTACGCGACCACAAATATCCAAAAAACAAGTCTTACAAAAAACTAGTTAACATAAATGTGTAACCACACAATAAGCAAACATCTATTTCCTCACCCGACTCATCTGTCATGCACCACCATTTTTCCTTAGCATTGTACGATGTCTCCATCGCAATGAACCTTTCTACATCATATACGATAGAGGTCTTACGGATGTTCACATCGTTTAGTAGCATCTTCAAACAGTATTTGGTTCTGAGATCCTTCAACTGTCTCTTCTGTTTTGTACTCTCCTTATACAACCCACAGTCCCATTTCACTACGTCTCCTCCAAAGAATGTCTCCATGTGGCGCATTAACATAACATCAGCGTCCACTGTATTCTCGCGTAATTGCCACCTTGTCTTTATTTTGTCCTGGTCCATTTCAGCGTATACTTTCCACGCCCCATGTCCCTCTTTTAGTAGGTGCATGATCATCATATCTTGCTGCATACATGACAAAGAACGACAAAGTAAATACATGTTCATAATGATCATGACAAAAACAAAA